TGGGGAGAGGGGTGCCCTAGGGGGCGGGAGGGTTTCTAAGAGGGTGGGGATCAGGACTCACCGCCCCTCCAGCCCGCCAGAACCGCAAGAGCTAGGAGTGGGGTTTGCACGCAGACCTGCCCCTTCACCGCCCTCGAGGATTGGCTCTCGGCTCACAGACGCTGGCCAATCAAAGGAAAGCCCGGCAGCCCGCGCGCCACGCCCCCTTGCCCGCCCGCAGCCTGGGAAGACGCCCGCTGGACTAGTCCTGCATCTCTGCGCCTCCTGCCCCGCCTCTCCGCCGCCCTCCCCAAGCTGCCAACGTTTCCCAAAGTTTCCCGAAAGCATGAGCTTTGAGGCAGGGGGGAGCCCCGGAATTCTTAGGGGCGCGAGAGGAGCAATTTTCTTTTTTTTTAATTGCAATTTTCATTTTAAGAGACTCACCAAGGAGCCCCTTTAGCGCTGTGGGCCAGACGTGGGGACTGCTAGCCACAAGCTCGGCGGATCAAACCCACCAGCCCCTTGACAGGAGAAAGAGGAAGCTGTCTGCCCCCATATAGATGTACAGCCTCCTCGGCAACCCTTTATCAGCTGCCTAGCGTGTTGAAAAGCAAGGAGGTTACTGTGAGGATGGAGGTGCGCCTGAGCCGAGCTAAAGTGTGTTCCATCCGCTCCTATGCTTAGGGAAGTTGGGCATTGAATAAGGAAGCCCCAAGAAGAATCAACGCGTTTGAATTGTGTTGCTGGTGACAAATATTAAAAGTACCACAGACTGCCAAAAGAACACAGAAACTGTCTCAGAAGAAGTGGGATTGCTTCTTAGAGGCCAGGATGGCGAGACTTGGTCTCACGTAGTTTGCACATACTGTCAGCAAGATGCAAGACATCCTGCTAAATAAAGTGGCGGGGCCGTGAGAAAGAGGAAGGCCCGCAACAAGGTAGATGGACAACAAAGGTTGCATCGATGGGCTCAAACACAGGAACAATTGTGAGGCTGGTTCAGGACTGGCTGGTGTTTCGTTCTGTTGTGCATGGGGGTCGTTATGAATTGGGCTGAGTCAACAGCACCTAACAGCAACAGGAGGAGCAAGCCAGTTCCAGTCTTAAGTCAATGGCCAATTTCTAGTAAGCTGATTGGCTACGGAATGGACTCTCAACCTTCTCTTATTCGGTCTGTTGAAGCAGCGTAGGTGACACCATCCCAGACAAGACTTAAAGAGATCCCAAATGACACAGACGTCACCTGTTGGAGTCTCAACATCCCCACGTCACATTTAAAGCTGCAAACCTATGATCGAATTCTAGTTGCAAAGCTCATCGATTGCCACTGTTGTCTGTCCCCAGGATCTTGAAACAGCCAGTGACCGTCTGGTTTCTCCGGGGCTCCATTGCCAGACAGGGACCATGAGAACGTCCTCCGTGATCCTCTGTGGAGAGGCCTCCAAGTGTCCAGAGAAGTGGGCCTACGAGATGAAGGAGGCAGGGGCCCCTATAGGATTCCATGGGGCAGTGCCCTCTCCACCAACCTGCAGGAACAAGTCCACTTTCCTTGTGGTAAGCCACTGAGATTCCATTAGAATTCCTGTTGTCACAGACTTTGGACATGTCAGGAGAGACCAGTCCTTGGAGAAGGCCGTGATGCTTGGTAAGGTAGAGGGGCAGCAAAAACGAAGAAAGCCCCCAAAGAGATGCTGGCTGGACCCAGTGGTGTGGCTGCCACAACAGGCTCCCGCTTAAGGACAAGTCTGAGGATGGCGTGGGACCAAGCAGTGTCTCGTTCTGTTGTGCATCGGGTCCCTATGAGTCGGAACCCCCTCCACAGCACCTCCCCTCCACAGCAGCATTGCCACGGCTCGTGGCCAAGACCTGGACCTAGATAAAAGTGAGTTCCAAACAAGCGGCCATCTAGCTCAGAAGCAACAAAGCCTGCATGGAAGAAGCACACTGAGAGGCCAACACTGAGACACAGACGGAGATAGGATTGAGACGAAGAACGTGAGGTTAAGAGCGGCTTTATTAGGGCAGCGAAAGAGCTCCCGGGAGGGAAGGGAGAGCAGACAGAGGGACAGGGGCATCTTGAGCTCCAGGGCGGGTTCCGAGACCCAACGAGCTGGGTCAGGGAAATCGCAGCTTGTCGGTGAGGTGGTGGGAGATATAGAGCTCGAGCTAGGGAGGTGTACGTTGACAACAAGAAGGGAGGTTTTTTGCTTGCAGCTGCAGGACCTTGAGTCAGGATGGATCCGTGGGAAGTGCCTTTGTTGTTTGTCAGCCTACTCCCTGGAGCGCTGGGACAGGGGCTATACAAAGGGGCCTGGGAAGATAAGTTGCTTCCTGGGTACTGGGGCAGGGGCTGCACAACCTTGGTCTGGAGAGATAAGCTCCTTGGAATGCTGGGGCAGAAGATGCAGACGTCAATAGGTCATTCATCTTCCCGAGAGGCTGGAAACGGGGGCCTTGACGTTCTATCCTCCTGAGGAGCCGCAGAGGAGATGGGGGCTGCCTAGTTGGGACCCGGCCCAAACACACAGGAGCCTGTGTGATCACGAGGTGTTGATGGGATCAGGTATTAGGCATCTAAGACGCAGAATAAAACCATACCTTAGGTAAATGGGGGGAGGCATGGAGTGGAGAGACAATTGGACATCCCCTCACAGAGGGGTCACAGGGAAGAGATGAGCCAGTCAGGGTGTAGTATAG